ATAAATAAATAAATAAATAAAGTTTTCTCCAAAAATGCATTAGGACTTATTTTCTGTTTTTTTTTTCATGTAAAACAATCTACATTTATTCAAATACAGTCATGTCATCTTCTGGTTGCTGCACAATGGTGGAGGGGGCGGGGCTTTACTTAACTGGGTCTTATTTTGGGGTAGGGCTTATATTATGAGCATCAACATACTAGGGCTTATTTTCAAGTTAATTTTTATTTTAAGGGAAACAGAGTATATCTCAATATTTTATGGGATTAATGTTTGAGAAGGTTTTCTGATTTCATTTGAATTAATAGCGGAAAACAAAGTTTACAGACACCACAACTGTGTCGTGAGCCAAATTACAAAATATTACAGTGAATCTGTCATCGTGATTGGGTTCATTAAAGATCTGAAGCAGCTCCTCTCTTTTGGCGGGAAATGACAACTGAGCCTCCTTTGAAATATTAATAGATTTATTTGGTTTAACATTTGGTGATTTCACAGCAACTTCTATGGGTTCAAAACAAGTGAGATTTGGCAACTGTCCAAAGTGTGAAGACGAGAACTTCGTCTGTAAATTGGCAAGGTTCATTGAGGGCCTGGCTCAAAACGTTCCCGGTTGGTGGGTTTCCTCATTGGAGCATTCCGAACTTCGCAAATTGTCCCGCAACAAAGGTGTCTTGCCCAATCTCCCTCCGATGATGGTTGGCTGAAAGATTGGTCTGGTCACATCACCTTCCTCAAGTAACCTGGTCCCCACAGAAAGACCACAACTGTCCATTTTAGTACCTCTGTCAGTTCCCTTTTCCTTTGAAGTCGGGGTCAGGAAGTAATCCTCCTACCTTCAAATTATGGGCACCTTCTAATAGCCCGCACGCTCTTTCATATCTGTGTTCACCTTTCTTTCTCTCTCTCTACTTTTCTCCTCTTTCATTCTCTCTTCCTGAGTATACTAAACTATCGCCTCCCACTTTGATCTCCTATATCCTCTTCCCACACAGGCAAGATTAACTCCTCTCCCCCTTTCTTTCTCCCTCTTCTACCAAACAGATTTCAATCTTCTCTTCTTTCCCTTTTGATTCCTTTCCTCTCTCTTCTTCCACACTCAGTTCCTCACTTTCTATTATCTTTCTTCTTTCTCTCTTTCTCTGTCTCGCTCTGACATCTCTAGTCGAGGGGACGGCTCACTCTCTTCTTTTTCTTTTTGGTCTACCACTCATTCACAGTCATACTACAAACTGACTTTGAATCTAGCATAAACTGCACAAGCTGATTGTCATATGATGTGTAAGGGGTAAGGGGGAGACTAATTTTTGAAGAATGTTCTGCATTCTGCTATAAATATTTTAAAATAGAATAGGAAGAATAAGTACCAGAATTTCCAAAATACTTACTGAACACATTTCTACTCTTGAAGATGATGTTTACTAGGTTGCATCTATTTCAACTTGTTTGTATTAAAAGGAATGTAAACATCAGTTCTGTGCCGTGTCAATACCTACTTTAAGATATCAAGTGACATTAGTAATTTCTTCTTTACAAACATGCATGCTTACCTGGCAAGGTTTGAAAAAGAAATCAGTTTTTATACATACAAAGAATTACGTCTCAGATGTCAATATTCTGTTGGTGTTGCTCTCTTGGTATGTTGGAAGTGATGTAATTGACACCAGATTTAACTACCTGTCATTAGATTGCAGCTAATTCAACATTACTGGCTTAATTTCAAGTTGTTGTACACAGTGGCCAAAATCCTGTTGCTTAACATAGTAAATTGCATTAGAGTAGGCTACAGATTTGGTAAGTCAACTCTTCCATAAGATTCAAATTGGCCTACTCTAACTGCAACTTACTATACTAAAGTATATACTAAATTCAATGGGATCTGCTGTGCCACAATTTATATACGAGATATATTCTCATGTAAGTGTGTGCAGGATTTCAGGATATAAGGGGAAAAAAGAATGGGCATGCAAAAAGGGCATTTGATATACTGCTGAATCTTATAAGTGCTAACTTTGGCATACCCATTTATATACAAAGATGACAATGTATTTAAAATATTTTTACCCTGCCTTTCTCTTAAGAAAGGATCCAAGGTGGCTTACATCATTAAAGCGCAATAGTAAAGCTAAACACAGTGATTAATTTAAATATTAAATAAATTAATAACATTAAAAATGTTAGGTAAAGCATTACTAAAACAGATTGAGAAGCAACAAAATGCAGACCATGTATTTAAAAACCTCTCCTAGATAGTCTGTCACTATGGAAAAGGCTGCATGAAGAGAAGGGCAGCAGTGATGGGGCCAGCCTAGCCTTCTGTGGGAGGGATTTCCAGAGTTTGAGAGCAGCAGGAGAGAAGGCCCTCTCCCGTGTCCCTACTATGCATACATGTGGGGAGGAAGGGACAGAGAGAAAGGCCTTCCCTGATGATCTTAACACAAGAGCAGGCTCATTGAAGGAGATATTGACCTAGAGCTTGGAACCAAGCCATTTTGGGCTTCATAGGTTAAAAACAGCACTTTTAATTGAACTCAGAAATGGATCAGGAGCCACTTGAGCTGCTGTAACAGGGGTGGGTGGGCTTTGAGATCCTTGTAACCACCCCCATTTAACAATCTGGTTGTAGCCTTTTGGGCCCCTTGTAATTTCTGAGCACTTTCCAAAGGAAGCCCCACTTAGAGTGCATTACATTAACTTAGCTGGGATGTAGCAAAGGCATGTGTCAGTATGGCCAGGTCAGACCTTTCTAGAATTTCACTGTGTTAGTTGTATGTAAAGTTAATGGGCAAAATTCTGATTGCATAAATTTGGACCAGCAATTGTATTTTTTAATTGTTTTATCTTTTTATTGTAATTTTATTGTATTTTAATTGTTGTAAGCGGCCCAGAGACCTTTGGGTAGAGTGGGTGGAATATTAAATAATCTCAAGATTAGACCACTGTAATGCGCTCTACGTGGGGCTTCCTTTGAGATTGCTGCGGAAATTACAGGTGGTGCAGAATGCGGCGGCCAGATTACTCAGTGGAGTGAAAAAATTCCAACATATTTCGCCCACTGTTTAAACTACAGAAAAAACCTCTTATCCCCACCTTAGTGTTCTAAAGTTCCGTAGGGTTTCCTTTTGCCTTGAGGTAGCTTTTGGGCCTTGAGTTGGTGGAGGGGAGGGAGGCTTTAATAACAAAGAATCACCACTGGTGGTAGCAGTCTGGCAGTTTGTTTTGTTTAAATTTTACAGACTTCTCCCATCCAGCGTCTGGGTGGGAGAACTCTTTAAAACTTAATTTGGATGTGGTGGGAGTGTAAATTGATTCAGAAAATAAATTAATTTAGATGTGGTGGGAGTGTAAATTGATTCAGAAATTTTGGAAATTGATTTTTAAGGAAATATGTAATATATTTGGAAAAGATCTCAAACTTAATTCTAAAACTGCTTTGCTGTCAATTTTTGATAAGATAGAACTTGATTATTGCTCAAAGGAATTGATTTCTAATTTTATGACAAGTGCTAGAATATTAATAGCTAGATTCTGGAAAGCTAAAAATGATATTACATTAGAAGATTGGGACAGTGGTGACTCGCTTAACGAGCGCCTCGTATAGCGATGAATCCTCATAGCGATCCCTTTTCCGGGATCTAATGCAGAGGCATCGCGTCGGCCTCTATGGCAGAAACTTGCATAGCGAAGATCGGTAAGCATTTTGCTTACCGACCGGCGCTTTGCGACTCGCGGATCAGCTGTTCGGCGGGTCCAAAATGGCTGCCGGAACAGCCGAAATGGCCGCACGCCCTCCCCTCGCTTACCGAGGGCGCGAAAATGGCTGCCGGCTATGGGAACACTTTGTTAAACTGTGAGTTTTCTGCCGATTTGGAACGCATTAAACAATGTTTAATGCATTCCAATGGCTTTTTTTGTTCCGTTTAACTAAGTATTCACATAGCGAAGGTTAATCCGGAACGGATTAACCTCGCTATGCGAGGCACCACTGTATAATGAAGTATGGGACATTGCATTAAATGATAAATTGACTACTGAACTTAAGATGAAAAGAGGGGAAATAAGTTTAAATATTTTTATGCTGTTTGGGGTAGATTTATTGAATTTGTATTAGTGAAAGGAATGGGGAAAGCATCTAAGCAACAATCAATACAATTTTGGAAAGGAGGTTTGTAATAAAAATATTGCTCCAAAGGGTCCTGTGGGTATGGGGGGTGCACTGTTTTTTTAGATTGTATTTTTAGATTGTATTTTGTATTCTTTTTTGATCCCAGAGTCTTTTTGTTTGTTTCTTTTTTTTCTTTTGTGATGACAATTGTTGCTAAATTAGTTTAAGTCTGTCTCATTTAATCCGTTAAATTATGGTCTTGGTAGGATCCAATTGTTTGCACTCAATGAAAAAAAAAAGAACAACGTAGGAAACTGCTAATGTTTTAACAGAAAAAAACAATTAAAATTTTATGATTTTTTAATGTACCCCAGCAGTGTACTTTGCTTGGTAGCTGTCATTGATGCAACCTTTGTTTCCTAGGAGCTGAAATTACCATTTACATTTTTAAGTGGACACATTCATGAATTGCGTATCCATGTGCCATGGACAAAGCTTGGTTCCGAGCCAGTTGTAATCACAATCAATACAATGGAGTGCATCTTGAATCTAAAAGATGGAGCCCAGGTAAAAACAAACAAACAAGAGAAAAGACATATGTACTCTCTAAGAATGCAGCATGAGCTGAATGGATTTTACAGTAATTTAAATTGTTAGGTGCATTTTCTAAACTGTACTTGGTGCTATTCACCTTATTTTTATAAATGTCCTTGAAGTCTTTCTATTGCTGTGAAATTGTGATTGGCAGTTCAGTTTGTCAAATGCATTTTTTTTTAATTAAGCAAGACATTTATCTTGGGAATATATTTATTTAGTTTTCTACCAGGGAAGATACTGAATCTGTTTGTTGGAGTTTAGTATTTTCATGTTTGAAAGATGAAAAAAGTGATAGAAGTGATTTCTCTCTTTTAATCTTGTTATGGCAACGGCTTTTGTACTAGTATCCTAATTCCATTTGCTTGTTTTACCTCTCTTCCTTGTCACAAAACTAAGTTTCTTTTGCCTGTAATCCTGAGTTCTTAATTTCTGTGCAAATCCAGTGTTGCATGCTGCTAGGGAATGGGAGAAAATAAGAGTTGTCCAATAACTGATTTCTAGGAACTTGAACAATCTCAAGTTTTTGTTTCTGTTAGCGGCAACAATTAGCAAACTGCTTAGGGGGATATTTGGATATGCAAAATGCTAATATTGCCTGTGCAGGCGCTTCCTGTCAACCATGGTAAGAAAAACAAAAAATGTGTTTGCTTAGAGTCAGTATACTTCTGAAAAGTTAAATGCTGAGGATAGACCGTTTGCAGGCCGGGAGAGGGGTCGGCAAATATATGGCTTAGATATGGGCAGAATTGGCACTTTTAATTTCTCTTGGTTTCTGTATCAGGTTGTTTTACCCTCAAAAAAATCTGTAGAGAAATTAGCAATTTTGTGTGTGTACTTTTGCTTAAAGATGCAATATTTATCTAAAAGTGTGGTCTAAAGAGCTGCATTGCAAAATGTAGAGAAGTTTGAATACTACTGCCTTCATGTTCACATATTGATTTAGAATATATGTGTTTGTATCAATATGGAGGTTGAATAGAATTTTTCTCACAATTAAAAGAGCTGTTGTCCCTAGGCCCTGCTTTTACACATTCCAAAGACATTTGCTCACCTTTTTTGGACAAGATAGAGATAGGTAACTTACACAAGAACATGTTCTTGAATACTTGAATATTTGATAACACAGCATTTGTTGTTGAAAAGGTAAAATTTAGCGCAGAGAGTTGCCCAGAACTGTAAACTGAGGTAGGATTTAAGTTCTAACAAGCAACTTGAATGAATAAGTCCCCAAAATTAATGATCCTGAGCAAGGCTCCCTCTAAGCCAGTCACACGTGCGACTGTGCCTCCTTCTGTGCCACTCTCTTCCGTCTCCACGCAGCAATCGCGTTTGGTTCCGGTCGCAACGGCACCCTGAATGTGCAGGGGAGGCACACGCACACACAGGGGTGAAGTTGTATGAGAGACAGGCAGAGCCTTTCTCCTTAAAAAAAGAAGCAAGGTGACTTGCATCATTAAAAGACAACATTTAAAGCTAAAATAATAAGTATACAAATACAAAAAAGGATCAAACAAATGCCACTCTGAGAAATGGTAAACACAAGCAATACTAAAAACATATTCAAAGCAGTTACGCATAACAATTCCATTTAGAAATCCTACTCAGGCACCAGTCACTGAGGGAAGGCTTATCTGAAGAGAAAGGGCTTTGCCTGCTTGCGGAAGGACATCAGAGATGAGGCCAGTCTGGCCTCCTGTGGGATGGAGTTCAAAAGTCTAGGAGCGGTAACTGAGAAGGCCCTCACCTGTGTCCCCACCAAATGCACCTGTCAAGGTGCTAGGACTGAACAAAAGGCCTCTCCTTAATACCCTAGCAAGCTTATAATGGGAGATACAGTCTTTGAGATAGCTTGTACCCAATCTGTTTAGGGTTTTGTCAGCTAGAACCACCATTTTGAATTGTTTAAATATTGCTTTATATATTTTCTTGGCATGCCTTCCTTGGCTCCCTGTTAGTTTCCAAGCTGAATTTAAGGTGCTGGTCATAACGTCTAAAGCCCTTAATGATTTAGGAACCTTATATTTGACAGAATGTGTCCCTCAGTATATAGCTACCCATCCCACATGCTTCTCCAATCCTTGATGTTAAGAATTGTAACACCTATTGGAGGCTCAAAAAAGCCACCATGAGGAACCAAGCTTTCTTGGTTGTGGGCCCTTTTCTCTGGAACAGGTTTCCTACAGAGGTTTGCCAGGCACCTTTCCTCTCAACTAATTAAGGCTGACTTATCCAAAGCTGCATTATATTGGGCTGAATATTGTCCTGGGATGTTTAAATGGAATGCAGTTTGTGTATTGTTATTTTAAAAATAGTTTTAGCTAGTGAAAAGGTTTAATTGTATTATTTTTCATTTTTTGTGTACAGTATATTATATAGTGGTATGTTTTTATTAGATATTTCCCAGAGAGTGGCAACACTAATGGGATGGATTTTTTGTGTATATTATATAGTGGTACGTTTTTATTAGATATTTCCCAGAGAGTGGCACCACTAATGGGATGGTATAGAAATGAAAGCTAACATATTGAATTATCTTTATATATCAAAGACACTGAAATCGGAATTATCTTTATATATCAAAGACACTGAGTCTACCAGATCAATATGAAACTGTTTATGTTGAAACATTGTGTTACATAAATCTTTTATTGAATTTTATATATTTATATTATAGTTTGCATTCTAGTTAGAAAATTCACAAAATAATATAAAAATATGTATTTGTTTTTTAAAAATATTTTCATCTCACCTTTCTCCTTATAATTCACAAAATAATATACAAAAATATTTGTTTGTTTTTTAAAAATATTTTCATCTTACCTTTCTCCTTAAAAAGAACCCAAGGTGGCTTCTCCTTGGGCACATCCTTTTTGCTTTTTAACTTTGTTTTAACAAAGTGCAAAGGTTCAGTCAGAACTAACAAATAGTGAGTGCTTCTCTTATTGTTTAATATACGGTATTTAAAAGTTTTTATACCACCTCGCTTCTTAAAAGGACCCAAGGTGGCTTAGTAGCATTTTCCATTATTGAAAGATTATTTGACTAGAAGGATCTGCAGGGCCACTTCAAATGAGTCATACTTTCTAAATTGGCTCATTTCCTGTGGGAGATCCACAATATCAGGGCATTTTTTTTTAAAAAAAAGCCCCCCCACCAAGATGTTGCCATTAATGTTGTGCTGGAAATACATTGTTATTCCTTAATCTGAGTATGTGGGAAGTTATCCTTTACATTTTCTGGACCCAGGCCATAAAGGCCTTCAGAGTTAGTATCATCATCTTGAATTTGGCTGGAGCAAATGAATTGCTGACAGATGCAATGCTGATAAACCTAGGCAAATCTGCATTCTTCTTTACTTGATTACACCATTTATTCTTCAGTTTTTGTTTTTTGTTTATTGAAAGGGAGGTTTAACTGTGTTACTCTGTAACAGGAAAACCATCTTGAAAACTATTGGGATTACTTTACCCAAGGTTGTTCACAACACTTAAGAAAAAAATTTAAAACAGCTATAGGTACAGTAAATTATATTATTGAAAGCACATTAGAATGTTGAAAAATAAAGCTGCAGAAAAATCATTAAAACATGTTTTTTTAAAAAATCTAGAGTACAGCTCCGTCATTAATACCATTTTCTTAGCAACCAGTTATTTACATAGAATTTTGCAGTAATACTTGATGATGAACAGTGTTATAAGCAGCTGAGAGATTAACAAATGTTTGAGGCTCCTTCCATGGGGGTCATGGAAGGAGCCTTTCCAAAGAAGGTGGACTCATTCAGACACCCCTGGGTAATGACAGCATCCGATCAGCTGACACGACACATCTTTGTAGTCTTTGGTTTATTTGTAATTTTAAAAAAAAGAGTACAGCTCATTTGATGTAATAAACCAAATGAGCCTCATTAGACGATGTCTCTGCCCATAATGAACTCCTTTACCTATTGGCTTATGTTTGCATTTAAGCAGAAATGTTTATATAGCACTTGGAGTGGCAAGTGCTGTTTCACTCCACAGTAGCAAGGTGCATGGCAGCTGCTGACCAGTGAGCAGCTAGGCTGCTTCTACTCCTGCCCCCTCCCACTGGGACATCACCGCAGCTGCCCATTCGTGTTTTGTGGACATGACAAAACTTCATTTGCACACATGTACTGGCAGTGATATTCACTGGAGCCTTAGTGCATTTACACTGGATCCCAAGAGTGCTATTTTACAGACTTATGTTTCCCACCTATAAATATATTTCCATTTTGTTTTTATTATTTTTCTCTTGCTCTTAAAACATTGGCTTGTCATTCCATATGCACTGAATAAGTGTCTCCACAATGTGAACTTTTGTAAGGAAAATGCCCAAGTGGAACAAGTAACCTGAACTGAAAGGGTATGTGGTATTATGTTCTTGCTTTGTGCCCATAAGTAATATATTTGGTTCTTGTCATTTATAAAACAGTTTTTGCCCTGTTTAACTCGTTATAGCTTTAAAAGTGAGTCATGTTATATTTAGACAAGAGAATCAAGCTGTTGTATAGAATGCTTTATTTCTTTGGTGGGCTCCTTTTAAATAAGGATAACTGCCTTTTATGCTTTTTTTACATGCATTTGTATGTTGTAAAATTATATATAATGATAATAGATATCTTTCCAGAAGTCTGGTCCTAGTTATGCCACCCATGCAATGCTTAATTTTTTAAAAAATATCCAGAACCTAAGTACTTTCTTCAATATTAGGTAGATGTTTTGAGCCAGATGTCCAATAAGAAACACATCTTAGAAGCAGCAAATTACAACTAATTATAGAGGCTGCAGAAACAGATTTGTAACACATGACTTTGTGCAACCCAGAACTAATATTTGATATTGGACCATGCAGATGGCTACTGCTGGAATGATCAGATTTCCTGCTTGCATGGTATTTGAGACTTGAATTTTGTGGCACATACAGCAGAAGGTCAAATGTCACAAATGTAAAGC